CCTCTACGAGGCAGAGTTGGGACATCAAGTGAATTTATGAAAATTTTAGCTATCTTTTACCCCCAATCTCGTAACTAGCATAAAGGAAGAATGATCATGCAATATATTAAGTTATAAATTCTAGAAGTGTACATGATCGTATTCCGCAGGGTCTTTCAATAGTAACTACTCAATACCAACATATTATGCTTGAATTTGTAATGCAAAGAAAAGTAAATGCTATGGGTTGATGTGCCCTTTTGATGAAATCAAAATACTACTCTACTACTAATGCAAGCCACGAAAATGCAAACAAGAAAAGTAATGTTTATGTAGTGATTCTAGATGATCATGCATTCATTCTCATTAAGAAGATACTTCAATGCTTCTTCTATTAAAACGACATATCTCTTCCACTAAGGTCATTCTCTACCCGTTGCATGCGCCTCTTGCGATAGAGATTTAACTAGCTAATGCATAATTCCGCTTCATGTCATTGCCTAATCAATGAAGAATAAGGAAGTTAGAATAACACATGATTAAGTGTTGGCCTCTTGAGTCATACTCGATGGTCTATAGCATCGATGATATAAATTATCAAGTATCCTCATTCGTGTATAGAAAGGTAGTTAGTCCATCCATACACGCCTAAGAAGATGCATACTATACGAGCTTGTCTCCCATAATAGTAGGATAAACGATGCATATAGTAACACATATATAGAAACATAGACATTGAGAAGGTTAAACATTTAATAACAATAGCATCTAGCAACTCAAGCAATAGAAGATACAAACATATATTGGCATTAAGCATAAATGATATAATATACATGCTAGACATCTCATTAAATCATAGAACTAGTACACAAAGCTTCATCAAATCACATACCTTAACATATAGTATAGCAACATAAAGGAGAGTATAACAACATCACCATTGATAAAAACATCAATGGTGAATTATCCTAGTCGAGCTCCAACAGAGCATCACCTACTCTCCCTGTGGATTGCTACTGCTGCCCTAGGCCAAAGTGTTGGTAAAAGTTGGGTCTAAAAGATCTAGCCTAACCTCCTATATACTAGTTATAAGGGGGGGGGGGGGGTGTCAGTCCTTTTTCCTCCTAAAGTAAGCTAAAACCTTCCTTTTCCGACTTGAATTCAGATTCCTTGTACATGTGGTCGAAGTAACTTGTTGAGGAAGTTTTCTTGAAGTTAGGACACGAGCGGCGGCCAAATGGCGTTGGGACCTGCCGCTGAGTTTTCTTCTCCAAATCGGCCCATTTTTGGTGAGCAGCTTCCTCTTGGCGCCCGATCCTCAAATTTCAGCTCGTTTGGACTTCATTTGACCCGTATGCTCTTCAAAATATTATCATTTGGTCCACAACTTGGCCTTCCAGTGTCATAACCCATCTCCGTTTGAGCTTATGAGCTTGTATCATCGACCTCCTTTTGATCCACCGGGTCTCTTGGTGATCCATATTCGCCTTGAGTGCATTATAACCTTGAAAAATACAAAACAACACCATAAAGATATCAAATAGTACAAAAACACAATAATGGTCTAACTGACGAGATCTCTAACACCGTTAAAATTTGTAACGAAAATGACTAGATTGGTCAAACAACCATACACAAATTTTACTATTTATTTGTATATCTCTCAAAAAAAGTTGTAGTCATTTGTGTGTATTTTGCCACAAACACAAAAGTTGTAATTATGTGAGTGTATTTTGGCAATTTTCTTACCCAATTAACCTACCACAGTTCCGTCCAAATAGCTTTAAATCATATTGGTTCCAAGAATGTCTAAATCATTACCGGAGTCGAAAATCTGTACCTAGCTATTAGAGGTGGCAATTAGGATCCAAATCCATGAATCCAATCCAATCCATCCACCAAATTATCCACTTAATCCAATCCATTTAAATCCAATCCATTTGATCCAAATCCAATTGGATTGGTGGATTCATGGATCAATCCATGGATCCAAATGGCAAATTACGATTTGGTACCTATATTTTTTATATTTTACATTTTGGTACCTAAAATTTATATTTTTATACGAAAAAAATCATTGGAAAATTACATTTTGGTACCTAAAATTTTTCATTATGACATTTTAGTACCTAAACTTTTCAAAATTTACATTTTGGTCCAAGCCTTGGATGTCATTTGGATTCATGGATCAATCCACCAATCCATTGGATCCAATCCATGAATCCACCAATCCATTGGATCCAATCCATTTGATCCATGGATCCACCAATCCAATCCACGAATCCACGAATCCGATCCAATTGCCACCTCTACTAGCTATATATGGCAAAGATGACCACGCACGTGTCCTTCTGCTATCTTTTTCTATATGAAAACAAAAGCGCAAGTGTCGGATGACCTACTTTGAGTTTCCACATATAGGATTGCGCCGCTAGCTCTTGTACAAAGTAGCAGCAGTAGAGAGAAAAGAAAAGAAAAGAAAAGAAGAGAAGAGAAAAGAATAGTAGAATACCATCCACGAGAATTATTGGAACGTGAGTTGACCGATATAGTAACCCTGGACACGTGTTCTTGTGGCTTGACAGATGACCACTCAGGATTGAATGTGGAAATCCAAATGGTGCAATGATTTCTGGACAATATATGATCAAGTCTAGCTAGATTCTAGAATCACACGACTCGAAGATCGGCGCGACGGACTAAAATATGATTTTGTGGGCAACTTTGAAGTAAACAAAAGCAGTGATGTTTTTATTATTATTAAATGCAGCTTGTTGATTTCGGATAACAATGAAAATATGGTTCAAAATGATAGTGTTCGATTGGGCCAGGTTACGGAATAGTAACCATCATGGTTATTAAGGGCAAATTGGGTATGAAAAAAAATTATTAATTAATTTTCGTGATAAGTTACATTTGAAGTAATTACAAAAATATGTTAATTATAATTTTTTTTATCTCTTTCTCTCACTTTCACAATCTCCACCCATATCTCTCTTTATTTTTTCTCAATCTTTTCCTTCTCCGTTCAATTGAAAATAATAATACTGCTCGACCAATAATAATAATAATAATAATAATAACACAACAAAAATAAAACAAGAATCAATACCAATTCGTTACGCAATCACTACCATTTCGGAAATAACCAATACAAATCAACAATACCAATCCGTTAAACAACCACTACCATTGCACAAATCAATCAATACCAATCCATTAAATCAATACAAATTCGTTAAACCATCACTATCATTTCGAAAAACACCAATACCATTGTAAACACAAACCAATACCAAAATAAATAAATAAAACTCTGATATGAAATTTGCGCCAAGGCTATGGTGGGGTGGGGAGAGGAGGGGAAGGGAGGAGGGAATTAGGGGTGAAGAGGCCGCGGTGGAGTGGGGGAGGAAGGAGTTTGAGAGGTAGTGGTGGTGGGATGTGGCGGAATGAGTTTGATCTCGTTTTGTGTAGGATTGCTCTGCCACATTTCGTCAGACTTGTCTCATTGCTTCTTTGTATTTATAGTTTCTTAATGCAACTGTCTTCTTTTGATCTTCACTTGATTACAAAGATTCCCTGCAATTATATATCCTCAAATATGAAAGTTAATAATATTATTTTTACCTGTGCAGAAAGGGAAATATTTCCCAACAATCTCCCCCTCATTTGGCGGTTGGGCCGTTGTGTGTTTTCCTCTTGATATGAGTTGTTTGACCCACAAGTAACCTCTCCATAGATTTTTAGTGCGACTTGTTGGGTTAGGCCTAGCAGTGGCTGGGCCCATCACAAGACCGTCATGATTTTACTTTTTGGTGCACAATTTCGTATTGGGCTTATTTGGTCGCTCCTCAATGTCAACTTTCATAAATGTGGTTCTCTGGGGTATTCGATGAGTATCCGATGTCCAAATCTATCTCTGTTTGCACTCATGGAATTTCATTCTTGTCCTCCTTATGGTCAATTGATGATTCATATTCCTCTTAAGAATTATATTCTTGAAATGCACAAAATAACACAAAAAGGTGTAAAATAGTACAAAAACATACTCAAAGTCTATCTTAGTCACATTGATTAAATAGTTATGAAATCCATATAGAATAAATCAAAAGCTATTAAACATGCATTGACAGAAGGAAAAATATACCAAATATGAGAATGATAAACACTATAATTTAAGCATTATCAAAGGGATAGGGTGCTAACACTTTTTCAGCATAGTGCTAACACTAGCTCCAACCAATATATTTTGTTTTAATGACTTTTTTTTATTCGAATGTGTAGATCACAATTAATGATGATTTATAAAGGAGGGACATACTAGTTATTATGGAAAATTGGTGGAGGGAGACATACACACATGTGTGTGCATTTGTGGGGGAGGGGTGCATTAATTGGAGGACCACCAAACACAAAGCACAACACACCACAAAAATTTCACAAAGCTTAGAAAACATATAAGAACCTCACCACACACATAAAGATTCATAAAGCATACTAGAAAACTCATAAAACATACCAAAAAGCTCATATGACATATTAGAATCTCATCACACCACAAACATCATAAATCACACCACAAATACCAGAAAGTTTATAAAACATACTACAATTTTCTTAAATCACACCATAAATCCCTTGAACTATACCAAAAACCTACTTAATCTACTTATATTCTAATACATTTTCAAACATTATTTTCTCTCTTTTTCCTCAAACTTTATAGATAATTTATGAAGCTCTAGATGAAGTTGAAACAAGCACACCTTAAATATGCGACCTATCTCCTAATGCTATATTTTTTTGGAATTACAAATTTATTATAAACTCCAAAACTTACAGAAAATCATCCCTTCATTGCAGTACATGTACTAGATTTCATCAAATCTTATAGGCATAATGAGCAGCATTCTACGTACTTTGGGCTCGTACATATATTTGCCCCCAACCTCTACTCCTTCCACATTTCAAACCAAAATAACAAAAACACACTTTTTTTTAACTAACATCATTGACTACTAAACATCCCAAATAGGCTTATCCAATCCCGATTCCCCTAGCGAGAGCTGTTGCTGGTAGTGATTCATCATCGGCGCCGCCGCCATCCTTTGCTGCTGCTGCTGCTGCTGACTCAACGCTTCTATCTCTAATCTCTGCTGTTGCTGCTCCTGCAAGTTCGCCGGTCGTGTCCCTCCAATACCCATAAAATCACGCGTCATCACGTCGCTCGCCTCGCTCCCGAATCTCGAACCGCCGCTCATCATTCTGCTCGTCAAACCGCCACCACCGCCACCGTTCGATGCCGCTGCAGCGGCGGCGGCGGGGTTCTCCTGATCTCCCCCCATGAACATGCTCGCGAACATCCCCATGTCGTTCATGGGGGAGCTCACCGCCGCCGCCGCAGCCGCGGCATCGAACAGCTGCGAGATCTCCTCCGACGTTTTCTGGCCACCGAACGCGGTGGGCGAGCCGCCGCCCAGCCCGACCATGCCGGTCTGGTGGTGGTGGTCGGGCTGCGAGGCGAACTGATGATGATGATCGTAAGGATTTCTAGCGCCCTGCTGATGCTGTTGAATCCCGCCGCCGCCGCCGTACGATGACGGCGGTTGTTGCGGATGAATCGGGGCCATCTGATCCTGGGGCCCGACGCCAGCTGTCATGCTGCTGGCAAAGCTCTTGTGCATCATCGGGGAGTTGATGCTGTTGCTGGCCGTGGCCCCCATTTGGGCCGCTTTCTGCAGTAGGGCCGTGGCCGACATGTGGGCCGAGCCCGACATTAGCGGCCCACCACCTTTGCCACTGCCGTCAGGGAGGTAGCCGAAGCCCGACGAGGCGCTGCCGCCCGGGTTGGAGCTGCTGAGCTGGAGGCTGGCGGATGAGGTGGAGGAGGACATGTTGCGGGGCCCGCCGAAGAGGGTGCCGGAGGTGGTGGAGAACATTCCGCCGCCTGCGGCGGCGGCGGCGGCGGCGCCCATGTTCATGGGCTTGAAGGGCATGGGGATGAGGTCGTGCGGGAGGGACTTGAGAGGGTTTTTTGGGTCGAAACTGTTGTAGTGGTTCGCGTCGGAGTTGGACATCGCCGGCATCAGGTCGGGCATTTGGTTGTTGTTGTTGTTGTTGGTCATCATCCCTTGGTTGTTCACTTTGTTGTTCTCTTCGGCTAGTGCGTCGCAGAAGGCTCGGTGGGTGATGAAACTGTCTCTCCTGCATTATATGTGGTAATTAAGCATCAATCAATAAGTTGGTTAATTCACATATAGGTACACCTAATTAGAATAAATGATAACACTAATTAGTTACTTGTTTATGCATACATATTTTGTTGTGTAGACTTGGACTAGTTGGTGTAGGACTACTTCTTGTTGGGGGAAGTAAAAATCATATCTTTGTGACACAATAGTATCGGTTGAACCATGTATATATATAGATTATCGATTCGGTATGGGCTGATAACTTGCGAACCTTAGATGATTGTTAGTGTCAGACTGCTTGGATATACGATAATATGTGAGAATGTCCACTAGGCTAATCGATTGAATTTTTGTACATACGATTTGTCAATCGTTTACAAAATGATTATGGATTATCTGTATGCACCCGAAATCAAAGGTGGATCATAGACATGATCTCATATTGCAATTATATCTTGAACGGCTAATCTTAGTGGTTTTATCTCATATGTAGTCCGACCGCGCACTCACAAATGAAAGTTTACTATATGATTATATGTTATATGCAGTATTATTGTTAAACCCGAATCGATCAACCAGTTCGATCGAAAAATGATCATACCATAAATGGTTTTAACATGACTCGATGAGTTCAAATAACTTGAGTAGTGAAAGTAGAATGCTCTCTAACCAACTACTCTACATTCATGTAGAAAGTATAAACACTAAATTACTATTAATTATCAGGTTTATCATCGACCACTACTATTTAATTTAGTTCGAAACGGGTTTATATCGGTTTAACAATAAAACTCAAACCTCTTGCTAATTCGAGTCCACATCTGCTCCGGTCCGATTCGGACAACACTTATATATATGTACGTACGTATTACGTACCTGGAGAAGATGGTGCCGCAGTCACACTTGTACTCCCTTGTGCCGCAAGTCTTCTGATGCGCCTTCCAGTCCGACTGAACGGCGTACTTTTTGGAGCACTTGTCGCACTTCCACTTCTTCTCGCCGTGCTTCCGGCTGAAGTGCTTCTTGATCCCGGTGAGATCCCCGAGGGCCCGGGCCGGGTTGTGGTGGACGCAGGTGGGCTCGGGGCAGATGTAGACCCGCTTCCGGACCTCGGTGGTGGTCCTCTGCCGGAGCTTCCACGGCAGGTTGTGTCCCCGCCGGTGCAGCTGCAGGTTCTGGTCTCTCTGGAAACCTTTGTTGCATATCTCGCACACGAACCGGTTCGTCGCCATGAGCGTCGTCGGCGACAGCGCCACCACCTCCGCGCTGGGATCTGGATGTAATTAATGATTCACCCATCTCATTAAACATATAAAGAGTTGCTAAGAAAATGGTACCCATCTTTAGTTGTTGAGTGAGCTTTAGCCAAGAATAACTATCTTATACATTTTTTTTCTTAACTGGGTACAGTAACTCGAGTTGTTGAAAGAGATTCAATTATGGATCATTATCACTTGTTAATACACCCTTGGAACGAAAAGCCAACTCATAAGAGGATTTAAGTTTGAACATGTATCGGAATATCATGTGATCAACAAATGAGATCGTCGGGATTCGCGAACAGAAGACATCTCGATCACGGAAGACTTAGATGCCCATGTCATGAACTAGTTGATATCTCAATAACTCGAGTTATGAGGAGGCGTTCGATTATAAATCATATGACACTTATTAACTCCATACACACCTCTTCAATGTACAAGCTAACTATATCTTGTGCTTTAAAAATCAACTATTAAGGTTGCGAGTTACGAGGATTTCAGTGTGAGACCTCTTGAATTGTGAAAGATTGTTTACATCATATGAAAAAAAAAAACAAAAAATTCGTTGGTTGAGTAACTAGAGTAATTGAAAGAGATTCAACCATAAATCTTGTATCGATCATTTTGGATTCCCTAAACAATATTTGGACTGTGGTATGTAACTAACCATATCATCGATCTGTCTCTCCATCACGAAAGAAGAAAAGAATCACTAGATTGATGTGAGTTTCAAAAGAGGGAATTCCAAGTTTCCGAACAGATCTATATGTATTAGTTTGTGGTATGAGATTCATCAGTTCACCTCTCCGAATAATTCAGTTATCGAGATCAACTGATCATCGCTGACACTATGTTTACGGATTACTGAATCTTCTTTATGTATAGCTAGGTAGAAAAAAAAAAGCCAGAGAGGGAGAGATTGAGGGCTTGCCTGGAGTGCCTGGCAAATTGCGCTTCTTCTTAGCCGGCGGCTGCCCAGAAGAAGCGTTGCTATTGGCAGCGCCGGAATTGGAACCGGAGAAGTGATTGGCGAGCTGCCGATCGTGATGGACTTCATCTCCGGCGGTGTTACCGGAGGAGAAGCTGCCTTCTTCACCTGACAGGTTCGACATATGTCTTTCTGTCTGCCCTTGTTTCTTTCTAATTGTCGGAGGGAAAGAGAGAAAAGAAGGATTGATGGAGGGTGGGAGGGAGACAAAAACAAAAAAAAAAAAAAAAAAAAAAGACCAGAGAATTATTGATGACGATGATGATCAGCTAACTTTTGCTACTAATTTTCTCTGGTTTTCTTTTGGATTTGGAGGAGGGGGTTAGGGGGAGAATTAAGCAAGTTTGGACCCTGGTCTTCTTTGGCTTCACATACCGTATATATAGTACTCACGACAAACAACCCATTGTCAAAATCACCCTTCTTTTCCTTCCATATATTCATGTCATTGCCATTTCATAATTCAAGGGTTGTCAATCAGCGGGTCGACCCGGAATGACTCGGTCTCGGTGAGGGAAAACATGCATATACAGCCGCGGGTCGCGACCAATAACAAAGTTCTGAGATTGGAGTTCACGCGACGTCTCTTTTGTCTTTGGTTTGTGAACTGTGGCTCTTTTTTCGGTTTTCCCCTTCGCCCAACCCTGATTTTGGGAACTCTAAACTGAACATTTAAGTGTTGATGATGTTATATGAGATTGTTTGAATTTTCACTATACGTTGTATTGAAGTACGAACTGTTATTTTGATGTAATGCTATACGTTATTAGCTGCTATCTATATATTAGATTAGACTTAATATTGTTTATAAATATATGAACAATATAATGACTTTTTTCATTTATTCAAAAACTAAAATAACCGGGGCCGTTGATCCTCGTCAACCCACTTACTCGACCGGACAATTTACTGATTGACAACTTGTTCTGCCTTACCCTCCTCTCCTACCTGGTTTGCCTTCTCTTTCTTTTTTCATTTAATTAGTTAAATAATTGTATATTCATTATTTATATTTTTTAATAGGATAGTCATTATTTGTTAAAGTTGTGTGTGTACAGAGAACTCTTGTAGCAGTGTTACGGCTTTGACCTCCCCCAATCTTGACGTAAAATTAATATGTTCTTTCCACTGTATAAACCCTAAGGAATTAAGTTCAGTCATTATAGCATGTGAGTCGTCCCCGTTCCTACTTTATTCTAATGACAATGAACAATCGCCAGTGTTTCATATATTTATAGCAATGTTGTGCACCTCCCTTTCGATCGATATAAAAAAAAAAAAAAAATCTCATGTAATTTAATTATCATAAAACGAACAACTGATTTCGAAAATTTCTTGTAACTTGTGGCATTAAATATGCCTAGCATATACCCATCAAGTTTTGCTATTTATATCATAAATAATAAGAATTTTAAAAATGATACTATACACTAGCTACTAATGAATGAACCTAGGTTATGATTATCTATATATCGACTACAATTTCAATTTGCTAAAAAATAATAACCGACGATGTTGATTCATTGAAGTACATTTAAGTACATCTACTAGGTAATACATGCATATATTATACGCATGGATACACTAACATTTATCATATATAACTTGAGTGTTTATGTAAATAATAATTTTCAAGGTATATATATATACACAGTCGTTGAATGGTCTTGACCTAGCTAGGATTAAAATCCAGATTGGTAATAGAAAAAATTACAACTATACAAAAGAAATAGTATAACAAAAACTAAAAAATAATATAATAAAAAAATCTGATTATAATAATGAGGAAGGCTAGTTTGTCGTTATATTATAGGAGAAGCGAGGTGCCGGATTGCGTTTGGAAGAATTGATAAAACCGGAGAAAGAGACCAAAAGAAGTCAGCATCTCCATTTGTGTTAAGTTAATTAATATCAGTAAATACAAGTGGAAAAGGAATAATTTAAATATAGTGACATAAAAGAGATATTGCTGCTTTGTTTTATATTTCCATTTTTATTAACATATCATATACATTAACGACGATAGCTATGTCTTCTCAATTCAATTATAACAAGGGAGATATATGGATGCTCTATTCTATTTCATGTCTTCAAGAATCTCCCACAATCATTCTTCCTCTTTCCCCAAGTCTAAATGTTTTCCTTCCTTCCTATGTAATTTATTGTAATTGTTGTGCATGAAGTTCATATTAGCTACATCTATGACTAGTTGATGATGTTGTGACATATTGAACTCTAGTTGTATAACACTTCAAAATTCGTTACGCATGTGGACGGCTTTGAAATATATAAAATGTATAAACCGAAGATTAATCACTTCACTTCGTGATTATTGGTCTATAGAGGCACACTCGTGATTTTAAGTATGGTTTATTCATCGGGATCCAAATAGCGGAGCGGATTTTGTGATGCATAAAGTTCATACGTTACACATAATGGGTTTGGTTTGTTTTGATTTTATGCATTGACTTTGATGAAGTGGTTAATCTATATATCTTTTGATTGCTCAATAATTCAAGCTATCTATAGAAAAAAAAATATACAATGTTATCTCTTTTTTTTTTAAAAAAATGATCAAGATGTGACCATATATTTGGGTCTTATCGCAAAAGCGAAAATGCCAAATAATGCCACAACTAAATACCATAATGGGTTGGTTCTTTGGATTTTGTTTGAGATAGATTCAGTTAAATTCTAGTTGGATCAATAAGCTTATGTGCATACTTGGAATTACCCAAATATAAGGCATGCATGTATCGTCAAAAAGGGAGTCTTTATAAAAAATGTAATAGTCATTTTATATGTGTGAAGGCAATTCCTTTACCCCCAACATATGAGGAAGAATTGGCTCAAACTCATCATAATTCACTCACAGCGGCGGAGACAGAACACAGAAGAGTACCGAGCCGTATTTTATTAGAAAATTAGAACTAAAAAAAATTAATGATTATAATTTTTTTACAATGTAAATTGTACACGACGGTATCATAATTTAGCAAATGCATCAATAATGTAATCCACATCCATACCAATAGTATACACTGTCTCAAATAAAATACTTGAGCAATTGGCAAGAAATTCATCACTCATTTATTGTGCAAATTAGTTTTACATGCTTCTTTGTTCAAAAGGTTCTCTCAGGTTCTCTTTGTAGTAGTTGTTGAAACGAGCAGCGTCAACACTAGACAAATAAATATCAATTTGCGTTATATGTCCATCCCTATACCACCAGTTGTCTAGTAAATTTTCAAGGTAACAAACCTCATATTTCTTTTAGCCTATTATGTTTTAGAATTTTAGGTTTCATTGTTATTTTAGACGAAAAATCTTTGGGGCTAGAATTTCTCTAGGCTAAATTTAGAGTAGTGATTGAATATGTTTATCTAAATCAATTTGCTAATTATATCCAATTTTATTATAAAATAGCATTGGGTCGAATACCTAAATCGAAAAATTCATAAGCCCTATACTAACTATGGATCCAGAGGAGGGCTGGGCCGGGGCCCGGGGTGGCCACCCCCTGGATCCGCCACTGTTCACTCAACAACCAACCATATTCCATAATATTAAGTCTAGGACCGCTTTTAGAAGTGTTTGAGCCACGAAACCCCCTCCGCTATCTGGGCATTTCCCTCCAACGGGCGTCGACCTGCAAACACAAAGAGGAGGGCGCCTTGGCCCGTTAATCCTCCGACGCTCAAGTTAGTCTCAGTGAGAGAGTCGAGTTCTCTATTAATGCTATGAAGTGAGAGAGTCCAACCTGCATAAATGCTATCGGTTGCCCCTATTTATACTCACCGAACCCGAGGTTGATCTCCGCCACGTCACCATTCTCATTTAATGCTCTGTGCCCCCTCTGTGAGACAGCAAACCGCCTTGTCAGGCTCCTGACACATGACAGGCACCTGACACATGACAGGCGCCCGCTGGCAGTGGTCCTCTGGACAGCTGGCCACTATTTGGCTTTTAGTGTTATATTCTTTGGGCCTTCCCCTTTTTTTTTGGGCCCAAGGGCTTCTGGTGGATCCCTTTTCTGGTGGATCCCTTTTCTTTGGCTTTGCCCCCCAATCTCTTAATTCCGGAGGCCCAAGCTATACCCCCAACAATTGCCCCCCCAGTTAGGTGCTCGTGGTTTCACCATTGAGCGCCTAGCTGACTCCGTTGCCGCAGTTTTGGTGTTTCTCATGTCTTGAGGCGCCCATGTTGCGTCTTGGTCCTCTTTTTCGGGTCGGGGGCGCTGTTGTCCATCCCTTCCATTAGTGGGCGTCCTGCTCCCAACGATGCCCCCTACTACGCGTATTTCTTTTTCGCGTTTCGTGGGCGCCTTTTGATCGCCTTCTCCTTTCGGGCATCGCATATTTGAGTATGCTCTTTGCGGTGTTCGCTTCATCTTTGTACCTCGCGGACGCCTCTTCATGGCATCCTTCGTACGGGCGTTCCTAGCCCTTATGCCCCCCTCACGGGGGGAGTTTTGATGTGAGCCCCTCGTTTCGCTTGGCGGGAAAATTCGAAATTTCGAATATGGAGGTTGGAAAATTCGAAATGAGAAATTTCGAAAATTCCGGGGAAGGAAAGGTGGGGGAAGCTCAAAAGTCCGCCCGTGATGCTGACACGTGGCATGTCAGCGCGACCCCTGACGCGGACCCTCGCCTCTTATAAATACCCCCCTCTCCCCCAGTTCCTGTCACTTTCTTCCATTTGACTTCTCTCTAAGATTTCGCTCTGACCTCTCTCTAGACTCAGCTCTGTCCTCTCTCTTGTCAGGCTTTGCTTGCGTCACCTCCTTCCCTTGCAGTCGTCCAAAATGTCGACCTCACCCCACGACAAATCTGCTGGACAATGCGCCCAAGGCGCAGGCGCCTCTGGCCAGGTGGCGACACAAGCCGTCCGGTTCAACGCGGTGAGTGTTCCTTTTTCCCTCGTTAGTTCTTTTGAGTTTACTCTAGTCACCTAGGGTAGGGGCGTCACTTACCCCGTGTCCGCGTTGCGTCTGGGTCGTTTGTTGGTTTATAGCGGGCGCCTGCTTCAGCATCTGGTGGACCGTCATCGTCGGCCGGGCCATCGAGTTCTTCGGCGCCTGGGTTTTTGCCAGCCGACGGGTCCTACAAGATTACATCATGGGAG